CCTTTAATTGTCCTGTAGCCTCAGAATATCCGGGTTTTCATGAGGATTAATTACGAGGGTGGATTGAAAAGTACTCGGCCTAACCAAGAAAATAAACAAATACTAAATCAGTTATATTTTTATTTTTCTACATAATCACCATCAAGTTCAATACACTTTTGCCACCTCCCCTTCCAAGCATTTAGACCGTTGAAAAAAAATGATTCTTCCTTAGAGTCAAAATATGCGTCTACAGCTGCTTTGACCTCGTCGTTTGTCGAAAATCTTTGACCTCCCAAGTGTTTTTTAGGTTAGGGGACAGAAAGAAGTCTGATGGTGCCAGATCAGGTGAATACGGCGGATGCGGTAACAGTTCAAAGCCACAGTTGTGAATTTCAGCCATTGACTGTACTGACGTGTGAACACGGGCGTTATCTTGATGAAACAGGACTTTTCTTCTGAGCATTCCTCGACGTTTTTCTTTTATTTCCTCTAGTAAACGACGTAGTAAGGTGCAGTAGTAATCAGAGTTTATATTCTGACCCCTTTCAAGATAATCAATCATAATCACACCTTTCGAGTCCCAGAATACTGAAGCCATCACCTTATTTGCCGACAAAATCGACTTAGCCTTTTTAGGGGGTGGTGAACCAGGTCTTCTCCACTGTTTTGATTGTTGTTTTGTTTCCGGTGTACAGTAATGAACCCATGTTTCGTCCATGGTAACAAAACGATTCAAAAAATCATCTGCATCGGCTTCAAATAACTCCAAACCACAGAATACTTTACTCCTAGCGGAGAAGAATGTTAACTCCATATAAAATGGATAGGAACAAAATTCAGCGCCATCTACCGTTGGAGCATATACAACAAATTTGAGCGGGAAAATTCGAATCGCAGAAATTAAATTTTTTTCATCGATCTGGTTTTTCCAAGATTTATTCTATTAAAAAATATGTTTCTATCATTAAACATTATTTCTATAAATTTATCTCTAGAATTATAATAATTAATTATTTTAGAAACATATTTCCTAATAGAATAAATCTGCTCCAAACAGTCGCGTGAAATAGTCAATCGCGTCCTTTTTTGTTCAACTGAACTGAAAGCAGTCGCGGAACCATAGATAAATATATATGTAGCGCGGAACCCACCTCGCAGACACCTTGTGGAAACCCAACTAGGGATGTGAAAAAATAATCGATTTTCATATTAATCGATTATTTTTTCTTATAATCGAATTTTTCGAAGTCGATTTTTTTTATAATAAAAATCGATTTTTATATAAATTACGCGTTTCAATCGATTTTTGTGATCAGAGTCATCTGTGCGATGGATGTAAAAACGTGAAGTAAGTTCAATAACATGAATAATTCAATCAAAAGACGGCGCCACCTTTATGTATCTCTATGTATGTAAAACAGTTTCGCTTTTCGTATGTTTTCAACAGGTTTCTTCCTCCGCTAGGAGTAAAAGTATTCTGTGGTTTTCTTTCGTTCTTTGGTTAGTGTAAACAATTATATATAAACAATAAAAATGTCTTGTGAAACGCGTAAAAGTCACTGACAGAAGTATTTTATAATGAAAAAATGATAGCGGCCAACACGTCAATAGGCAAAAATACTGAATTGGATCTATATATTGCGGCACCACTATCAAATCTCAAGGCAGATGCCCTCAATATATGGAGAAGCTCTGAAGGAACTTTCCCCAAACTAACCGAATTGGCTTTTAAACACCTCTCAGTGATGGCCAGTTCCGCGCCAGCGAAAGATTATTTTTGAAAGCGGGAAATATTGTCAGGAAAAAACGAAACCGTATTTTGGGAAAGAGACGAAGAAGAATTTTGGTGAAATGATTGTTTTTAAAGTCTTTAACTGAAAATTCATGGCAATATTTTTTTTACTTTTTTGTTTACACAAGTTTAAAAAAAGATTTGTCTTGTATTTTAGTTTTGAGATCAAAAGGTTGTCGTCGGATTATTTATAATTATATTTTTATTTTATTTTCATTCTAATCCAATGTACTCGTAAATGATACTGAACATTAGTGGCAAAATGATATTTAGACTTTTTGTTTGTTCAAACTTAGTTTAAAAAAAACTACCGTTTGCTAAAATTATGGTTTCTTTATGATTTCTTATATTTACGCGAAGACTACACATTAAATTAAATTAATTTTTACGGATTTGATCACGCTTAATTTAACTTTTTAATTCCTGACGTTTCGGGTGCTTCACAGCACCCATGGTCACGGGGAAAACTGAGATCTTTGACGTCCCGATGTCATAGTTAGCCCGGCTACCTTCAGTTTATGAATATTAATTTTTGGTCCGATCTACGCAGAATGAGCTTACAGTATCTTGAAGTCTTGCAGTGGTATGCTTGGGTTTGGATTTAATTTTATTAATTATAGGATCCCAAGTAGATGGCAGCACCCATCCATCTTCCCTATTGAAATTAGGATGTTTTTTAATTTCGATAGCCTCGCGAATCATCCTTGGTAGGAATCGGTGTTCTTTTGCGAGGATTTGTGGTTCAACTATGACATAGGGACGTCAAACACCTCAGTCCCCTCTGTGACCATGCGTGCTGTAAAGCACCTGAAATGTCGGGAATTAAAAAGTTAAATTAAACGCGATAAAATCCGTACAACTTACTTTAATTTATCGTTTCTGTTTATTTTGGTTGTAATAAATTGTTAAATGGCACTGAACATTTGTGGCAGTAATTATTTTTAGTCTTTTATTGTTCAAAGTTACATGTTAAAAAAAATTGTTCTGTAGTTTATTTCTAAAACCAGAAGATTATTTTTCGAATAAAATTTTATTTCCTAAAAATCGATTATTTTTTTTATAAAAAAATCGATTTTTCTTAAATTTATTATTGTCACAAAGCAAAAAATCGATTTTTTATTAATCGATTTTTTCACTAAATGTCACATCCGTAAACCAACTCGTTGACAATGATGTTTTGAGTTCGTTCATAAGAGATGCCTATAATCTCGGCTATCTCTCTAATTTTTAATCTGTGGTCTCTCATTATTAAATCAAGTACTTTTTTAATATTTTCGTCAGTAGTTGACGTCGAAGGCCTTCCAGAGCGGGGTTCATCTTTCACACTCTCTCTACCACGCTTAAATTCTGCTATCCATTTTTTGACGGATGAATATGACAGAGCACAATCGCCTAATGTACTGACCATGTCATCATAGATGGCTTTTGATGATAGCCCTTTCTTATGGAGGTACTTAATGACGGCACGCTGCTCGATTTGCTCCATTCGCGGAAATTATGTCCGATTACTTTGTTAATAAATTTATAAAATCACAACTAATTATCGCACACGTTTCGAACTTCACACAATGAACTAGTCTGAACTGAACTAAATAATGTGGGTAGATTTGATTTTTAGAATTGAATGGATCTGTGTTAGGCCGAGTACTTTTCAATCCACCCTCGTAAAAATGCTAACAAACAGAAAACATGATGCCAACTTATTATATAGGGTTTAAAAAAAACTTCATAACATAGCACGAAATAATTTATCTGAACTGATTTATAAAAACTCACAACATTATTTGCCGCTAATTATTATCGATTTCATTTACATTATGTACAATTTAAAATTAAGCACGCCGAAATTGTATAGTGATATAACATACTTCAACTAGATGGTCAAATTATTCATGTATAATGAAATTATTTCAATTAGCCGAGTATTCATGGCAGTGCATCTTAACAAGTGAAATATATAAAATTATTATACACAAAGCCGATAAAATGCCTAGTTAACACTATTATTGTCATTGTTACAATCAGAACACCATCAGCATCAGACATATAGGTACTAGTAAATTGAATCATATTAGCCTTAGTGCATTTTGAAAAACAAAAAAAAAATTACTTACACAGTACAAAATTTAAGTAAGAAATATAACATGCCAGTAACAAGTATAAGATAAAATATAGGATATTATATGCTAGAAAGAAAATTAATTGTGGTAATCTTAATAAAAACATAGTTTTAAAAGGCTGCATTACAGATGCATTGTCATTACATACTCAAGCATAACTAAATTTACAACTTTTTCCAAATAAAACTTACTACATTTACTTTAAATCATGACATGCTATCACAATGAAACAGAGGTGATTTTATAACCAGCATAATTTTCCTCTTTAAATTGGATAAGCGAAATAGAGAAGCTGTAATGCTAATATACTACTTTTTATATGGCATCAATGTTTAAAAACGATGCCAAACTATTACTATTAACATTAAATCACAAAGTTATGAAAGGCACTAACAAGGGTACTTAAGATTAATGACTAACTTATGACAACTTAATAGATATGGAATGAAGATCATAAAGCTCATAACAAACAAATTTTTGGTAAAATATGCTAATGGATGCCATACATGATTCAGTTTACCGTCAAGTTTGCAATGAGCCTGAAGCGGCGTCCAGTCAGTGCATCCATATAGACCACTCGCGTTAACGCTCGCCGTCTAATTTGCATGTTGCCGCACACCAGTTGAAACCGTGCCATCACCAGTACCGGATGGCGACGCGTTAGCCATCCTAGGCTTATTGCTCTGACTAACGTCATGCATACTTGACCACTCATACACACGTTCAAGTTTTCATGACACTGCAATCTTGATCAAATCGGCAGAATATAATTAAATTTTTGCTTCCAAGTAAACTTGTCATACACATTGATAGCCATACACCGTCAAGTTTACTGGAAGCCGCAAACTTGACAGTGAACTAGATCATGTATGACATCCATAAGAAATTATTTGACTAAAAAAACTATACTGTTTTTAATTTTTGTCTCCAGGCATATATGTATGTAAAGAAACATTATTTTTAAAGAATTTCTGTTTAAAACTTTATTTTAGCTCTGTTATCCACGCCTTTTTAAGAATTTAGTTTGCTATGAGCAATCTTAATGTCTACACCGCATCTCATGACAGGACTGTACAATCATATCTCATAAATGTATCATGCAAATTTTACTTTTTCTCTGGTGGAGTTGTCTTCTTTCTTCTAAATAGTAAGATATGGGGTTCTGAAACAATTTTTAAGTTATTTTATTTTCATCAAATAGTATTATTGTAATTAAAATGGGGAGGGCTCAGATAATCATTATGAAATAAATAAATAAATATTTATTTCATTATATTAAACCATTTCATTCCATTATAGCCTATTAAAAGTCCACTGCTGAACATAAGCCTCCCCCCCCCCATAGATTAATAGGAAAATGCTGCTGCCCATCTCCTGTTTTAGTTTCCCTGTCGCCTCTTACGACCAACAGGAAGATATGGGATAGTGGATATTCTTACACTGCCACTAGACGGCTTCACTGCTGAACAAAGGACTGCCTCAAGTAATGCCACAAAGCATGCTCCTAAGCCACCTGCATCCATCAACTTCCTGCATATCTTACCAGGGTCACGTCATCTAGTTTTAGGCAGTCCTACACTCTACTAAACTTCTTCCACACTGGTTGTTTCTTCTTCTTCTTTCTTTTTTTATGGCGGTTTTTAATTATTCGCCAATGTCAGCGTGGAAGTGTTTATTGAGTACAAGCTCAGTAGTTACAAATACTATGCCCATGTACTAAAGAAGATTGTGATAATACAAGTATCTTATTTTCTCACTGGTTGTTTGTTTGCTAAGCTGTACGGAGGGGTCATTGTCACTTCAGCTTATTGATGTGTTGGGCTATGAGATCTGTTATATTGATTACTCTGGTCCTACTGTTCCATATCATCATAGAAAAGCCAAATCACAACTGCCAACAAACTATGCCCACATACAGAAGTCTGTTGTTGCCAGTGATAACATAATATGGATCTATGATACGATCTTTCATTGTTTGTTGTATGTTGAAACTTAAGGTTACTTAACTTCGTAAGAGGTGACAGAAGGGAAATTGAAGCAGGTGATGGAGAGCAGCATCTTCCTGATAACAACTCAAAATAATAAAAAAACTGCGGTTGAAAACCTGCCCGCATGTCACAACTATGGCAATATCCCCCTACGGGGCAATCTCTGAGAGAGGACTATGTTCAAGAGTGGACTTTTATACGCTGTAATAGATAGATTTTATAGGCATCTGCTGTGGTATTACTTGAGGGTAGCTTTTTTTCAGCAGTTGTGTATTGCAATGATAATGATGTTGATGATAATGATATTATATACCAAATATTCTAACCAAATAGCAATAATTTGTAAGCATACTTGTATTTAAAAATAGAGGCTTTTAAATTAAGAATGTCAACCTTCAGTTCAACCACATATTAAAGCAATAAGATACAAGATGAAATGATAATATTTAGTAGCCGATGAAAGGTCAGATTTTAGCTGAAGCTGATTTTTTTGGCTTTTGCTGTAACCTTCGGGTGAGTCGAAGAAGTCAAAGGGATAAATTCTACTTATAAAATGTAGCACGAAAGTATTATTAATACAAACAATATCTTTTTTATTTACGTAAAACTCATTTTATTTCAATTAATTATTTAATCGAAACATAACATTAAAAAGAATTTCTAATCAGCGTTCAAAAGACTTTGGCTGATTACGGACGAAAAGAGCTGCCGATAGTAGTTTTACCATCTGGAAGTGGCCAAAGCCAAAGCAGAAACTTACTTATGTCAGACCCTAATATTAGGTGGTTAATCAAATAAATTAATTTGTCTATTCATTGCAAACTATTGTGTCATACAATATTTTAATTTTCACTTTGTATGTCTGCATTTTTAGAAAAAAGTTTAACTTGATTCCACTCTACTAGGCAATTTAATAATTTTACTTTTACATATTATTTCCTGAAAATTACATTATAATATTCATTCCTTCATTATAGCACATTATAGCACAAATCCACTGCTAAACAAAGCCTATGTTGCACCTAAGGAATGCCACAAACCATGCTGCATAGCCACCTGCATTCACCAACATATATATTATTAGGCTAGTTATTTATTTTTTGTGGTGTACTATTTATAACTTATGTATTTTATTTTCATGTATTACAATTTTTTTTATTTTAGTTTAGTATTCACATATTTACTTTTTATTACACCTACTTTATTCTATTTCTTTATCATCCCAAGGTAGACTGGTAGAGAAAAGCCTTAGGTATTAAGTCCACCTATACTATACCATGTGTGTATATGAAATTTTAAATATAAATATAACTAATTTAGTGTATGTAGATAACTTATGTTTATTTTATACTGGTAGAGTCATGCTGCAGCTATATTAGTAGTATAGTTGTAGCACGAATGGGTCAGCTCTACCGGGGAAGGACCACACTCTTGCAGAATACTTGCGTAAAATAGCAACTTAACACTGCTGTGCTTTGTATGGTGAGTATAGAGAACCAGAGACCCTTTTTACTGGAAAAGAGACATTCCATCTTAGTCCTCAAGGGTGATAATGCATCTGCATTTTGATTCTTTATTGAGGATAGATGTGGATGTCTATGGGTCACAGCAACCACTTACCATCAGGTGGACTGTGTACTCGTTTGTCATCCTATCCAATAAAAAAAAATACTGTAAAACCTTTTTTAGTTATAATAATTGAAATACTTCAACTGTTTATGAAACAAAACAATCAAGTATGTACATATGACATAACCACTTAAGCTTACTAATTTTATTAGCATTCATTTTGCTGGTTCTACAGCAGAACAAATATCTCTATTCAGTTACCTCATGAGATTTCATCATAACGAGACAATACAAGTATAGTTCTCTAAAACTTGTCTGGTGAACTTTCAGCTTTCTTAATTGGTATATTAATGAGAAATAAGTTCTTGCATGATGAATACACTGCACAGTTGAGTGATATGTGACAGTACCTTATACTAGATGACTATAATAACCTGAAGAGGCGTAAGGGATTAAAAAACAGAGGGGGCTCACTCACTAATAAAGGGAGGCTTATATTTACGAGTGCTGGCTACACCAATTTTGTCAAATTGTAATGAACTCAAACTTTTAAATTCAGAACATTAAGATAAGAATGAACTTTTACAATTCCTCACCAGGTTGATGTGTCATATAATGTACCCAGCCTTGGCTTTGCTGCACTCCAATGCTGCGCCATTCCTGCTCAGACATAAGATGATTTTTTGGCACCAATTTTACCATTTCCTTAGGTAGTACAACATGTCTGTAAGTAAACAATAAAAAAAAATAACAAACAAATATGAACAGATTGAGGTTCATATATTATATAGGCACTAAAGCATTAAATTTATGTATTATAGTATACAGGGTTAGGTTGCAATAACCGGATTTTACAGAGAAGTTTCAGAATAAATAATATAGGCAAATGGTGAAGAAAAATTAATAAAAAAACAATCTCAATTATTCTGTCTTTATAAATTTTTATGTTTAATTTACTTAAGTGTTACAATAATAAACGCAGGTAATACATAGGTAGTAAATATGATTTATCAAACTTGAAGATTGACGATTTATCACCTATTTTTTAACCAATTAATAATATTATTTTTTTAAGTAATTTAGGCGGTGGGTCAACACCTGCCAACTTTTATCCATTGAGACATGATAATGGCAGGTGTCCCGAATCTCTCCTTAATAGCCCTGTATCGCAACCCATCGATCATCCTAACCTCAAAGCCTAATATATATTTTTTTTGCCTAACCTGACTACCTAATATTTTTTGTTTTCACCTTTTTTGCAAATAGTTTGTGTATGATCTGAGACCCTTCTCTGGATACATTTTTATTATGTATGTGACGTGGTGTACAATGTACACCAAAATATAGTCAAACTCCAAAAGGCTTCTCTACATGTTGGACCCATATTAAATGACCCAAAATACAAGATCAAAAAGTGAAGATTCAAAATAATAATTCTCTATCTTTTTAATAATATCCTATTTTGGTAATATAATTCGTTTAATAGATATAACATATGTTATGGATTGTGGAGAGTAAATATTGTCACAGACTGATTATCAATTTACAACTTTCTAGCAATAAACATGGGACAATAATATTGAAGGAAGTAACTTTTTACATAATATTGTTCTTTTATGTAAAACTACACGTCTTTTTACGAGTAAAATATCAACCATTCAATTTTAATTTAGCATGGGAGTCATATTATCAAGTATTACAGGAAAAATATGTTATTAATCATTTCGTTAAAGGATTCATAATAAACTAATTACAAAAAATATAAAATACCTGTACTCATGTTCTTCGTCATAATATTTTTCGGAATAGTATATTTCTCTACTGGACATTGTGTCAAATAGATTTTTTAAATTTATATTCACAGTGGACTCGTTAACAGTTCTAACTAATAATTCTGCACGACACACGACAATTATAACAAAAACAAACTTTCCAGATTCCTGGTATTCTGATTCTGGCACAATTCAACAAAGAATACGTTATAACGAATTTGAAAATTCGAATCCGATTTTCAATCCAAAGCCAAACTATTTTTTTTTTGGAGTTTATGGCCTGGTATCTAGACCTTTAGGCCAAGTCTTAAGTATTTTTATTCGGTTTATTGTAATTTCCCCACTCCTTCATAGTATACTGCTTCACAATATGTTGATGCGTCACATTGTGCAGTTCTTGGGAGATTTTGGCGGCAACTTGATCCAGCAGACAGCTGATAGTTGGCGATGGTATCTAAAGGTGCCTATGCAAACAAACAGCTTATCTTGAGAATCCATCACCATCAGAGCACTTGTTTCACTGTTTCCACTAATAGTTCACATGCGTAGACACTTAATACACAAAATCGCAACACTTTTACATATCAAAGTCCACTTTAAACCATTATTTAAACAATAATACAGGAGCAGCAAACCGCCGCCGGTCAATTTCCCGCCAAAACTCCAAGCCAAACTATTGAGGTGTTGCCAGTGTTACCAGACATTTTGAATGAACGATCGTACGATGGGTAAATAAAAAGTATTATTCCCTTATAGAAGGTCATTCAATAAAAATAGTACGTATTTAAACTTTGTTTAATAAATTATACAAAAATTGAGAATTAAAAACACAAAATTATTAGACTTTATCTCCATATAAAATCTTACTGTTCATATTATTTAACATTGCTCTTGATGGAGAAAAATCAACACAACAACCAAAGGGTTTTATATGTTGTTTGGCTAATAGCGTGCCGTTCACAGTCTTAATACTGAGCCTATTTCGAATTTTCATTATGATGAGATTTACTCAACTGAAGTACCGTTCACAATCCGCATTAGAGTGAGGAAGGCATAGCAAATCGAGAGCAAATGCTATATTCTGAAAGTCATCTAACGCACATATTTCTGCCCAAAATTCGTCTGGCGGGAGAATCATATCAACTTAATAAAGAGCAGGGGTAATCTTCTCCACTCATCGTCCACATTTTGCATTATTTCTTCACTTACAATCCGAGGCACAATTTTCATTAGAGGGAACATAAGTATTTACTCTGTCTCTGTATGATTCTGATAAAGCATTGGTAGAAAATGTACGATTTTTATGTTTCGATCGTACATGCATATAACTAAAAAAAGCGTATGAATACGATTTAAATCGTACATCTGGTAACACTGGCAGTTGCCAAATCTTGATTTATCCAAGTTACTTTAACCACAAACACAAACTAATATAGCTCGAGCTTGCTACATATTTATCTATGCAAATATAAAGTACTATTAGCACACACTTGGACTATAGAATAAAAGTAATATTTAGTCACCCAATTATTTTTAGTATTTTTTTCCTAAAATGCCTTAATTTAAATTCAAGTAGCCCGTAGGATTTTTTTATAAGAGGCAAACGAGCATGCGGCTCACCTGATGGTAAGTGACTACCACCCTCCATAAACAACTGCAACACCAGAGGAATTGCAGATGCGTTGCCGGCCTTTTAAAACGAAGTAGGCTCTTTTCTTGAAGGTCCCTAAATCGTATCGCTCCGGAAAAATCCCTGGTGGTAATCGACTCATCCAGATGGTATGAATGGTATCGCGAGTTTTGTCGCGATGTGCGATGGTAAAATTCAGCGGCTGGAATTAGTCCGAACAATTCCTCAGAGCTATCCCCGTGGTAGATGCGATAAAATACGCATTACGCATAAAATGCAACATTTCTACGCAGTGTCAAGGAGTCGAGCTGATCGGAAAGAACTCTGTCGTCGACGATTCGAATCGCTCTGCACTGGATGCGGTCAATTAGAAGGAGTTGGCACTGGGGAGCCCCTGCCCAGAGATGGGAACAGTATTCCATGTGGGGCTGAACCTGCGCCTTGTAAAGTTGCAAACGGTAAGTCGGCATGAAATACTGTACCGCTCTGCTGAGCAAGCCAAGCTTTTTAGAGGTCAATTTGGCATTCTCTTCCAAGTGACCACGAAACTGCACATCACTCGATATCTCGACACCGAGGATTCCGATACTGGCTGAGGCAACATGGGGAGTGCCTTGAAACTGAGAAGGTACAACAAAGGGGTTCTTTTTAGTGGTAAACGCGCAAACTTGTGTCTTCTGAACTGGACTAGATTTAGTCGCCCTTAGTCCGATACTATGTTCAAGAAAGTCTCGACTTCAGACACAAGTTTGTTGCGGTACCTACTTGGCGACGTTTTCCCGAGAAATATTGGCACGGCCGCGGTGTATAAAGCATCGCCAGTGCTGTCGTCTGCATAGCAATGTATGTTACCAGTTTGCAACATATGATTGATATGCAGAAGAAACAGAATTGGTGATAAACAGCGTTAATGGGCTTGTAATCAGAGCATGCACCGTCTACTACAACCTTGATGCTTCGATCTGCAAAAAAACTGGTGATCCAATTGCACAATTTCTCGGGAAACCCATGGGAAGGAAGCTTCGAAAAAAGCGCTTTGTGCCAAACCCGATCGAAGGCCTTCGCTATGTCTAAACTAATGGCCAACGGCTCCCTCTTGGACTCCACTGCCTCCGCCCATATATGAGTTAGGTAACCTAGGAGATCACCAGCTGAGCGACCTCAACGAAAACCATACTGGCGGTCACTAATCAGCTGGCGATCCTCAAGGTACCGCATGAGCCGGCAGTTAATAATGCTTTCCGTTACTTTGACTCCACTTTCCTATACTTTTGAAGCCGTAAACTTAAAAAAATAGATATCTTGAATCAGTGGATATAATCCACAGAAATTGAAAAATATTGTAAAAATTTCCTTGACTATCTAATATAGAATCGAAATCCAAACCCAATAAAGTGAAATACAAATGAAAAAAATGTCTTGAATTTGTATAAAAATACGAAGAAACTTTTCCCCAACCTAATAAAAGAGATCCCGTGTAGTGGTGGGTAAGAATACCCACTACCCCATATCTTCCCGTGGGTATCGTATGAGGCGACAGAGGGAAACTGAGGCGAAAGATGGGCAGCAGCATCTTTCTCATAACAGTAAAACAACACCACTCGATCTGGCAACATATAACGCACACACTCTGACTGACGAGAAGATCCTGACGCTGGAAGAATAGATAGACAAGTTGCGGTGGAAATTATTCGAGGTTCGAAGAGAGGGGGAGGACAGGGTAATCCTCAAATCCGGCAACTTGTTCTATCACCGGGAGGGCGACCATATCTGTCCCCAGGAGGTGTCGGATTTATCCACAAGTCTCTCGTTAACAATGTTGTAAAGGTTGAGAGCGTACCTTATACTCAGAAACACTAAACGGTATTCGCTTAAGGTTTACGCACCAACCTCGGCAAATCCCAGGAGATGGAGGAAATGTATGAGGATATATCTAGAGCCATTTATTCCTCCAAAACCCACTGTACGCTGTTAATGGGAGACTTCAACGCAAAACTAGGCACAAGAGAGAACGGTGAGCTGAAGTTAGGGAAATTTGGAATAGAGCAACGGAACCCAAGGGGCCAGCAGCTGGCCGACGTCATGGAGAAAGAGGGACTCTTTATGATGAACTCTTTCTTCCAGAAGCGGCCCCACAGGAAGTGGACCTGGTCGAGCCGCGACTGTTGGGCAAAAAATGAGATTCACTTTCATTCATTATGTCGACCAGACGACAACTGTTCAATAATGTCTCAGTGATCGCAAGGGTGAAAACCGGCTGCGATCACCGAATGGTGAGAGTCAAACTGAACCTAAACGTTAAGTTGGAGAGGTCTCGTCTAATGAAGTCTACCCACCATCTCCCTCGTGCTCTAATCCAAAGCCCCGAAACCTTTCAGCTCGAGCTACGAAATCGTTTTCAGTGCCTAGAAGATTGCAATGCAGTAGACGATATGAATGACAAGATCGTGGAAACTGTCCATGGGGTCAGAGCTAAGTTCTGCAAGACCCGCCGCAGAAGAATACAAAAATTATCCGATCACACTCTTAATCTCATGGCTGTTAGACGGTAAATGAAGCTGCAGTCTTCAGCAGATTTGACAGCGTACAGGCAACTTTACAGATAGATGTCCAAATGCATGCGGCGGGTCTTCCGCAACTTCAATACAGCACGTATTGAAGAAGCGATTGAGTGGAACCAGGGCTCTAGTCTTTGCCAGAGATCTGTCTGCCAGAAAGAACCAACTGTCAAAGCTGAAGACCGAGTGTGGCAGCGTCGTTTCCAGGACACAGGAGATTTTGAGTGAGATTGAGAGGTTCTATGGGTAGCTGTACACATCATCGTTGTAGCCACACGCAAGTGTGAGTAACGATCCAAGAGCAAGTACGAGGGCGGCACTGAAAATTTCGGGAATCAAGGAAGTGACACAACATTACTATTTAAAAATGTATTTATTGCTTTTCGAAGTACTCTCCGCGAAATTTGACACATTTTTCCACACGATGGAACCAATCATTGAAGGAACCATTCCATTCGGAAGTTGGGGTCTTCAAAATGGCCGTTTTGTAGGCGTCCACAGCTTCTTCAGGTGATGAAAATCTCTGTCCACGCAATTTATTCTTTATTTTAGGGAAAGTATAAAAATCATTAGGGCTTAGGTCGGGGCTTTACGGCGGACGGTCTAATAATTCTATGTTTTCTTGCTCTAAAAACTCTTTTGTTCTGTGTGCGGTGTGAGAACTCGCATTGTCGTGATGCAGGATGATGCGGCGGTTGCAGTTCTCTTTACGGAGTTCAGAAACGACCTGTGGGAAACAAATGCTAGCATACCATTCTGCATTAACCGTTCTTTGTCCCTCAAGAGGAATAGTCGTAACATGGCCGGTTTTGGAGACAAACTTGGCCACCATTTTTTTTGCAACACTCCGTGAACGAACCATTTTTGTTGGTTTTCACACACTCATTTTCGATCACTTGTTTCGGGTTCGTACGCGTATATCCAGGATTCGTCACCTGATACCATGTTGTATACAGCATTTGAGGATACTGCGTGGAATCTTTCGAGAGTTCTGACGCACCAAGTAACGCGAGCCGCTTTTTGCTCTTCACAGAGCGAATACGGTATCCATCGGGAAAACAACTTTTTTACACCTAATTGTTCATGCAAGATTATTTGTATTTGACTCATGCCAATGTCTAAAGTTGCCTGAATTTCGCGGTATGTCACATGTCGATCTTGCTCAATCAGCTTACTCACAGCATCAACGTTTTCTTGGGTGACTGCAGTTTTTGGACGACCTTGACGGGGATCATCACTGAGCTTGACACGTCCACGTTGAAATTCAGCAAACCAGCGATAAATTGTGGTTGCAAAATGCAGAAATCATCCGGTCAACACACTGTTTTTGTGTTAAACCACTTCGAAAGTCATAATAAATCATCGCTTTTGAATTTTCTCGGGTCAATTCCATTTTCTCAACGACTAAACAAGTTTGACAAAACCTTGTGACAAGACCGACAATCTTTTTTTAAATAAATAAATGGTATTCGATTTATAAAACCAAGGACTTTTCAATTAAAAAAAAATTTAATATGACAGGAACGGTGGAAATATTCCATTCCCGATACTTTTAGTGCAGCCCTCGTATTATCCGAGGTAGCACTAAGCTCGAAGTTGTTGACGAGTATATTTACCTGGGACAAATAGTCCGACTAGGTAGTCCAATTTAGACCGAGAGGTCAATCAACGGATTCAACTCGGCTGGGCAGCGTTCGGGAGTTACGACAAATCTTCTCGTCAGGCATACCTCTAAACCTCAAACTAAATTGTACAATTGTTGTGTGTGTTGTCAGTGATGAAACGTGGTCCTTCACTACTGGCCGTATGAGGAAGCTCAAGGTCGCTTAGCAAGCTATGGAGAGGGTTTCTCTGCGTGATAAACTTAGAAATGAGGATACCCGCAGTAGAACCAGTGACCGACATAGCCCAACGGATTAGTAAGCTGAAGTTGCAATGGGCCAGCCATACAGCTCGAAGAACCGACAACTGATGGGGGGAAGTTTCTCGAGTGGCGGCCTCGTACCGGCAGGCGAAGTGTAGGGCGTCTCCCTACTAGACGGAGTGACGACCTGGTAAGACATGCAGGAAGTCGATGGATGCAGGTGGCTCCGGACTATATATATGCTTTGTGGCATTCCTTGGGGGAGGCCTATGTTCAGCAGTGGACTTGTGAGGGCTATAATGATGATGATCATGATGACGAATAAAAAAGAAGGTAAATGAATATGACATGGAGAACGAATGTAGAATGAGAAATACAGGAAATAGAGAAACAAATGAAGAAATTGGAAACAAAATGACATGAGACAGCAAGCTAGAGAATAGAAAGCCATGACAAAAGATGGTAAATGAATTTGAAATGGATAGCGACTTAAGGATAACAGGGAACAGCTGAACAAATAAAATAATTGCAAACGAAATAGCATAAAATAGAGAAGCGCGGAAAAAACAACAGAAGAAAAACAAAAAAACCACGAAGAAGGACTGAATATAAAATCACGAAGACTAGAGGAGACTATGTCAGAAGAGAAGGCATATGAGCCAAAAGTATATATATTGGACAGTACATCTTGGTAAATTTGGCCTGATTACGAAATTATCAGAGCGTGAAGGTGTTTTCGCGAAATTCATGATATAAAAATGGTGGTTTTACTGGCCCACAGTAATAATAAATATAAGTATTGTATTCGAAAATGATATAGTGAGAAGTTTACCAAATCCCTATAAAAACCGGCTTGGATTTTATATTTTAACTAGGTGTGCCCCGCAGTTTCACCCGCGTACATCACGCGACATGACATGACACTTCGCTCCTAGAAGCGTTCACTGCTAGTTTCTCTCCATTCTCATCGGGCGGCTAGGGTTTAGGTTTAGAGCCAAGTGTTGGATTATTTAAATTTTTCATTATCTCTTGAACTATGCGACCAAACAACATGCTATAAAGAGCTATGTTTATCTTCATAAAATTGTCATGATGATGAAGAAACTTTCATAGGTGTAGTTAGTGTATGTATAGGTGTGCCTAATGCTAGATAGCCTATACTATTCTCGATTAATTTGGCCATAATATACAAAAATAATGTTTAAAATTGAGGATTGACAGTTCCAGAGATTAGTTTGTTTGAACAAACAAAAAAAAACAAACAAACTTTTTCGCTTTATTATATTATAATACACTATAAACTTACAGTAGAATATGTATAGTATAATATTATATTTTAAAAATGTCAAATTCAAATATAAATTGAAATAATAAGTTTCATTAAGTAATAATCTTCAATACACTTTGGCTGAAACTATGATAGAATAATAGTATAAGTATGATAAATATTATGGGATAACTAGTGCATGAAATACATTATAAACTTTACAATTTTTACAAGTTTAACCCATGGTGTTTACTGAACTCTCCATACGAGTGTCTGATTTGCAGTTAACCAATGTTTTTTTATAACGTACATTTTTAAACTGGTAGCAGCCCTGATAATAAATTACATTTATATGAGAATTTCAATGGAGTCTATACCATCTTTACCTACCAGCTTGTATTGTCAGTTTAAATATTTTTTATTTAAACTACCCATATGTCTAAACAGAGAAAGTAAAGCGAAATGGTGTCTTTACCAATTTCAGTTATAAGCGCTTCATTTTATCCAGAAATTCTATACAGATGAAGTTGCCGTTTTTGCGGTTTCTTTTACCTACGCCTACGTCGGTGTTACTTTAGTGGTTTTGCAGCTATAAGAAGCATTTATAAAGCAACGGAGAAATACCATGTTCATCGATTAAAAATAATCATGAGTGTTTTATTTTTCCTTCAAAAATATGGTAAAAATGCCGTGGTTGATGAATCCGGTGCTACACGGTAATGATATACGCTCAAGAACCAAAGCAGTCAAATTTCTGGTAGGTTAAACATTAATACTGTAGATTTACCTTCTCAGTCAGCCGCAAAATCTATTTTTTTTTGTTTTCCATACAGTCATAGAATTATCTTTACAACCGCCTTCTTTCTGAGAACGCCTAATTGGTTGCTTTTGGTTGCCACCACGATAGATTAATAGTTAATGAGGGCTAATATTCTTACGCTCACCAGATGTCGCTAGTTCGGACTGAGGTAAAGTTTTTTGTTACACAATGTCATTAAATTGAGAAATTATTTCTAAACAAAATGTTTATTACTTTCTAGAATTTGTAGAGTATCTTAATATAATAATTAAAACACAAAACAATGCCTCATTGGTTTGCTATTAAATTTTTTTATGTACATTTTTAACTCCGTTTTTATGTTTTCTACTTTTAGGAATATCCGTAGATTGGTTCATCTATGTTTCAGAAAAATATATTAATCTTCACACTTTTCTAACAAATTAATTTCCCCGCTATTAAATCTGTCAAATATTTCAAATATAGACAATAGGAATATCGGCTTTTCATTCTTTACCCCTTAATAAGGCAAAGGGATATAGTTTCCCACCAAGACTATTTTGAAAAACATGTTTATTTTACATGAAAGATAGCCCATAGAATGAACGCAACCGAAATATACTATTCTTTAGAAGATTTTAAATTTCATAACTTGCAACACTTTTCAAAAAATGACTACCTTATATTGAAATGTCAATGTCAAAGTTCAGTGACGTGAAAAAGTGCTAAAATAACGGTCGATTTTTGGTTACTTCCGAGAAAAAATCTTTTATTGTTCAACGAAAAATCTTGTAAGTAGATTATGTTTCCATCTTTTATGAAATGACAACTTTAGCTATGTTTTTTTTATTGATTTTATGCGTATAACATTGATAACAGCGTTAAAATCTGTGAAATACTAAGTGGGAAAATTATTCTCTTGGCCCGATTGAGTTTATAATTTATTTCTTATTATATATATGAAAGTTTGAACTCACAAATATGTCAATACAAAATACAAATAATAATAGAATGCTGAAATTTGAATGAAAGTAAGCTTCTTAGGGGATGTAGATGTGATATTTACATGTAATAATTTATTTGTAGGATTCACCATGAATAAAAAAATAAATTTAGGGAAACGGGAGTTAGAAGATATCATGAACAACCTGTCAGATTTATCCGATCTTGACTCAGATGATGATGCATATTACCAAACAGCCCCTGTAACCAGCCCGGCAGATTACCAGAATGAGTCTCAAGATGTTATTGTTGAAAGGCGTCTTGAAGAGTTGTTTGGTGTATCTGATAACTTGGAAGAAACTATTGAAAGCCAAGAAATATATTCAGTAGAAGCACTCACAGATATTTTAGAAATAAATAGTCCTAGACCTATTGGTAGTGTGGGTGAGACAACAGGACAATATGATGTTCTCCCAACAGAGGAAAATATTGCAACTTATGAAGAAAGCTTTGTTATGGATTGCAACCAACGAGAAACTGAAATAGAGCAATGCTTAGATGATATCCGTGAAGAACACTCCCACTATACTCCAATATCTACAGATGACTTAAGTGCAAGACCTTCAAGCAGTAATGTTATTGTAACAGAACCGGATCGTCGCTCAAGATCAAGCAGAACTATGAATACAGTAAGACAACCAAGGGAGTAGAAAATTGAAACAGAGATACACAATGTTCCTGAATTTACCAATTCAATTCAACCACAATCAACATATAGTCATAAAACGCGGCCTATCGATGTTTTTCAAAACTTTTTCCCAGAATATTTAGTACAAGTTCTAGTGGAACAAACAAATAGATATGCGGTTCAGAATAAAAGCAATAATTTCACACCAGTATTATCAGAGGAAATGAAAGCTTACCTTGGAATATTAATAATGATGGGGTTAAACCCATTGCCTGATATGGAGCTATATTGGTCTAATGACCCTTTTTACAATAATGCAGAAATTTTAAAAATTATGCCTATCAAAAGATTTAAAAAAATAACTGAAAATTTACACATAAATGACAATGAAAAAGAACCAAATAGGAACTCACCGGAATACGATAAAATGTACAAGTTGAGACCAATGATTCAAGAGCTTAATAAATTGTTCCAGCAGGAAACAGGTAATTCAAGTAAACAATCAATAGATGAATGCATGGTGAAGTTTAAAGGAAGATCATCTTTAAAGCAGTATATGCCAAAGAAGCCAATCAAGCGTGGCTTCAAAATCTGGGCACGTTGTGATTCTGTAACCGGCTATCTGTACCAGTTCGAAATTTATACCGGGAAGGGAGACAGTATGGAAGACGAGGGACTGGGGTACAATGTGGTTAAAAAGCTGTCAGCCGGCCTTCCTGAGAATACTCTGATAGCGTTTGATAACTTTTTCAATAGCTGTAACCTAATGGAAGATTTGTACGAAAATCAAATTTTTGCTGTTGGTACAGTTAGAGTAAATAGAAAAGATCTTCCGGAAATTTTTAAAAAGTCTCAACCAAAACATTTAAGACTTGAAAGGAACCAATTTGCAGCTGTAACTGCTAAACCAATTACAGCAATCAAGTGGCTTGATACAAGGGATGTTAATATTCTTACAACAGCTCACCATCCAACTGACACAGTATTTGTAAAGAGAACTCAGAAAGATGGTACTAAAAAAAAAGTTCTCATCCCCACAGCTATCGCTCAGTATACGCTCACCATGGGAGGCGTCGATCACTTTGATCATTTCAGATCATCATATCCGATCAATAGAAAATGCAGGAAATTTTGGATGAGATTGTTTTTCTTTATGTTTGATGCGGCAATCATAAACAGCTATATAACCTACAACACTGTGCATGTAGCAAGTACTCATTCTCATAGAAATTTTCGATTGCGATTGGCTCGTGAGCTGATATCAAATTACTCTAACAAGGTAAAACGCCAGGTTGTTTTCAAAAACAAAAAGGGCTCCAACTTTGGAGTTCCAGATGCGATACGTTTACTCAATGTCGGCGTCCATCTTCCAGATGAAGGAAATACTTACAAAAGATGCCGATTTTGTAGCACAAAAAAAGAGGAGAGAAGAACAAAAATAGTATGTTCCACGTGCCAAGTTGCACTATGTGCAAAGAAATGTTTTAAATTATTCCACGAGGCTTCACCCCAAGAATAATTATATTTTTAACACGCTTTTAGCTTACTTGTAATTAGCTATATTAATTATTAGAATAAAAATGCGATTGCAATACCGCTTTTTATTTAGCATGCATGATAATATTCATAGGTAAATAAAATAAAAGTTGGTAACGCATAAAAAAAAATTAAAAAATAAATGAAATGAAAAAAGCGAAACCAGGTGAAATACTAGTATATGAATAACAACAAAACTAGGCATAATTCCCTTTGCCTAAATAGGCGAAGGGAATTATTTTCCCACTTCGAGACACAGTGCACATACATAATCGGGCAAAGGGATATTATTTCCCACCCAAAAAAAGGGGGTACAAAACCATCCCCCCTTTTTCAAAATACTTTTTTTAAATTCTGCAGTATCTATTTACACTATTTCCACTGTAACTTACTTTCTAGCTGTAACACAGGCGCGAGCCTTATTAAGTGTTACTGTTCATAAGGACATCGAAAGGTAAGATATTATTATTTATAGGTAGATCTAGATAATTAGGTAGCTAGTTACTGACGCCATAGTTACAGGTTTATTATTTGATTAGCGAGCGACCCGACCACATCTTCGCAGTTTTAGATTTTTCGCGTATAATGCCAATGTCCTTAAAACATCAGCGTAAGTAGACCTCTCAGTGCCACTAGTACTGAGAGGTAATAGGCCGGCCATTTAGCTCGAAGAACCGACAACCGTAGCAGGCAGTCACTCTGCCTACTAATGCAAGTTAAGCATATACTGGTTATTGCAAAATATGTGAAACAGACAAGTGGTGAAATAAAAATTTTTGTACAACCGACTTCAATATATTTAAAATGAGAACATCGTCAATATAGTCAAAATCAATTAAATACGCATTATTAAAGATAACTCAAAAACTACTGGTCAGATCTTGATCAAATTTACGTGGGACTACATGAGAAGCATCAGATTTAAATAAGAAAAAATAATAAAAAAAGAATGATCAAAATCGGTTCACCTAGAAAAAAGTTCTGAGGTAACACACATAAAAAAATACAGTCGAATTTAGTAATTAAGTACCTCCTCCTTTTTTTAAGTAAGTTAAAAATGGTAAGTAGGTAAATTATCTGAGTTTCAAAGACGTTCACATCTTAATTTTTCTCGATGTTGCATATTAACCTTCCTCACATTGAACAATAATGTTCTTATTATCAGTGAATTACTAATACATTGCATAACACTTCGGTGTATTTTAATACCAACTAATATCAAAGGAACCAATTTGTTTTCTCACAACACCTAACCCTACAGTAGGAGCGGCCTTAACAAAGGCGCGTAACGGGCTAAGTGATACAGACTATCGCACGCGGACTTAAGGTGCATTTTGATTAAATATGCGCGCCGCAAAAATCGTTAGACTATTTTAACGAAGATCGCATCCAAGACGTGCAAAGTATTATAAACATTAGCTACGTTGTAACTAGGTTTAAACTCGCAAGTTTGCTATCAGAGAGTGATTCTTCTGTTCTTGTACTATTATTTATTCTGTGCCACGACTAGGTAAATAATATATTAATAGATATGTTGCAAAGCTAAGAGTTCTATAGTTCTGAGGCCAAGGTATTTATACAAAGATTTTTAACTCTTTGAATTGCAGCACTGTCACAATCATAAACTTAGGTACGCCAGTATATATTCTAAGTCAATGAGTGGAAACGATGAAACAAGTTCTGATGGTGATGTAATCCTCAAGACATTGTGTCTGCTTAGGCGCCTTGAGATACTATTGCCATCGATTGTCTGCTAGCTTCATATGACGTATCAACATACTCGTATTGTAAAGAAGTTTTTAAACAAACTATTAAAACGGATAATTTGTATTACTTGGTGAATAATATTAATTAAATTATCCTAGCAGGAGAGATCCAATTTCTAGTGCGATGCTGATTTACGCCTGACACCCCTGACCTTAATTAAAAAAAAAACAACATGTTTACAATCTTCTTCTAATTACTTCCCAAATTATTATCACTTGCATTCAGCAAGTTTCTTCGTTTTATCGCCTTCTTTTCCTTGCTTGATGCAACGTTCAGATGGTGATCCTGTTACATTATTATGTAAAAAACGTATATGTCTCTTAAGATGAGAGGCACGCGTCAAACGCATACCACAAATGCAACATACATGTGGTTTCTCTCCAGAATGCGACAAAAGGTGTTGTTTGAGATCACTCCTGGTAATAAAAGCTCGGTCGCAAATGTCGCATTCAAAATTTTTAGCGCCTGTGTGTCTTCTGAAATTAAAAAAAAATATCAAATTAAAAAAAGAACCAAACTATACCGGTCTTAACCACGGTTTCGCAAACACCCTCACATTGAACATGTTTATTAATAAGCCATCTGGACATAGTTTACTTTTTGTTAGTAAAGTTCAATTAGAGTTACAGCTTATTTGCGTCCCACTGCTGGGCACAGGCTTCATCTCATTTCTGAGAAGGTTTTTAGAGCAAGGAAGTGTCCGCCGCGCTGCCCCAATGCGGGTTGGCGGACTTTACATATTTTTTTTATTTTACTCAGACATGTTTTCTCACGATGTTTTCCTCACCGCCGAGCATCATCATCATCATCATTACAGCCCTTCACAAGTCCACTGCTGAACATAGGCCTCCCCCAAAGAATGCCACAAAACACGGTCCTGAGCCACCTGCATCCATCGACTTCCTGCATGTCTTACCAGGTCGTCACTCCATCTCGTGGGGGGACGCCCTACACTTCGCCTACCGGTACGAGGCTGCCACTCGAGAACCTTTCTTCCCCATCGGTTGTCGGTTCTTCGAGCTATATGGCCGGCCCACTGCCACTTCAGCTTACTAATCCGTTGGGCTATGTCGGTCACTCTGGTTCTACTGCGGATATCCTCATTCCTAAGTTTATCACGCAGAGAAACTCCGAGCATAGCCCTCTCCATAGCTCGCTGAGCGACCTTGAGCTTCCTCATACGGCCAGCAGTGAAGGACCACGTCTCAGTTCCGTAAGTCATCACTGGCAACACGCACTGGTTGTACAATTTCGTTTTAAGGTTTTGAGGTATGTCTGACGAGAAGATGTGTCGTAGCTTCCCGAACGCTGCCCAGCCGAGTTGAATCCGTCGATTGACCTCTCGGTCGAAGTTGGACTTACCCAGTCGGACTATTTGTCCCAGGTAAACATACTCGTCAACAACTTCGAGCTTAGTGTTCCCAACAACTATCGGCATAGGTGTGACATGGACATTAAACATGATCTTAGTTTTGTCCATGTTCATCTTAAGACCTATCCGTTGGGAAACACTATCGAGGTCATTGAGCATAGTGCTTAGGTCCTCCAGCGATTCTGCCATAAGGACTATATCGTCGGCAAATCGAAGGTGAGTGATGTACTCGCCATTGATGTTGATACCGTATCCTTTCCAGTCCAGAAGCTTGAAAACGTCTTCCAATGCAGCGGTGAAGAGTTTCGGGGATATGACGTCACCCTGTCTTACACCTCTCTGCAATTGGATAGGTTTCGTACTCTGGTTCTGTACTCGGATAGCCATCGTAGCCCTACTGTACAAGCACTTCAACACTTCGATATACCGACAGTCAACTTGGCACCGCTGAAGGGACTGCAGCACCGCCCAAATTTCGACGGAATCAAAGGCTTTCTCATAGTCCACATACGCCAGACATAGTGGCAAAATTGTACTCTTCGGACTTCTGTACAACTTGCCGAAGGGTATGTATGTGGTCTATGGTGCTAAAGCCTTTTCGGAAACCGGCTTGTTCGGGAGGCTGGAAGTTGTCAAGTCTGCGCGCGAGACGATTCGTAATGACTCTCGAAAACAGCACGTAGACGCGGCTCAGAAGGGAAATCGGTCTGTAGTTCTTCAAGAGAGCGTTGTCACCTTTCTTGAAGAACAAGACCACCGCACTTCTGCTCCACGCCTCCGGTGTAATGCCACCATGGAGGACGGAATTAAAGAGCTTCTGAAGGACTTCAAGTACCGGTCTTCCACCCGCTTTCAGAAGCTCCGCTGTAATTCCATCCTCGCCTGGGGCCTTACCGTTTTTAAGGTGCTGGAGAGCCATCCTAATCTCGCTCAGACTGACATCCGGGATATCTTCGGAATAGTGTCGGATGAGACTCGCTCTTGGATCGTTGCTCACACTTGCGTGTGGCTCCAACGATGATGTGTACAGCTGCCCATAGAACCTCTCAATCTCACTCAAAATCTCAGGTGTCCCGGAAACGATGCTGCCACATTCTGTCTTCAGCTTTGACAGTTGGCTCTTTCTGGCAGACAGATCTCTGGCAAAGACTTTGGAGCCTTGGTTCCGCTCGATCGCTTCTTCAATACGAGCTGTATTGAAGTTGCGTAAGTCCCGCCGCATGCATTTGGAGATCTGTCTGTTCAGATGCCTGTATGCTGTCAAGTCTGTTGAAGAATGTAGCTTCATCTCCAGTCTAACAGCCATGAGATTAAGAGTGTGATCGGAGAGTTTTTGTGTTCTTCTGCGGCGGGTCTTGCAGAACTTAGCTCCAACCGCATGGACAGTTTCCACGAGCTTGTCATTCATATCGTCCACTTCATTGCAGTCTTCTAGGCACTGAAAACGGTTTTGTAACTCGAGCTGAAAGGTTTCGGGACTTTGAAACAGAGCACGAGGGGGACGGAGCGTTGACTTCATTAGACGAGACCTCTCCAACTTAACGTTTAGGTTCAGTGTGCCTCTAACCATTCGGTGATCGCTACCAGTTTTCACCCTCGCGATCACGGAGACATCACTGAACAGTTGTCGTCTGGTCGTCATAATGAAGTCAATCTCATTTTTTGTGGAACCGTCGGGGCTCGACCAGGTCCACTTCCTGTGGGGCCGCTTCTGGAAGAAAGAGTTCATCATAAAGAGTCCCTCTTTCTCCATGAAGTCGGCCAGCTGCTGGCCCCTTGGGTTCCGTTGCCCTATTCCAAATTTCCCTACTTTCAGCTCACCGTTCTCTCTTGTGCCTAGTTTT